GGGCCGGCCCCTGCATAATTGTTTTGAGATAATTATCCCTGGCTACAAGGATCAACAACAAGGGTGATGCCAGTCTGAGGTTGGACAGGAAGTTGCTGGGCAATGTGCTTGCAGAAGTATTCTTTTTATTGAGGTTGCAATGGCATCTGTGCAAGGTTGTGGTCTTGCAGAGTCCTTTGTGGTAGTTCATGTTAGACTTACATTCCTGAGAACTCCCCTCTTCAAGGCTTTTCCTGGCTCTATTTGTCAGGGATCTTAACAAAGGCAATTCCGTTTTCATTCTGAGAACTTTCTTACTCTCCAGTCCCCGACCGCATTGCCATAGCTCCACATCTGAGTAGTTAGAATACTCTTTCTCTGAGCACGTCTCAAAAAATATCTGGAAATTAATAAGCCAGTAGTAAATATCTACTACTAAGTTGGATAGAAAAACACAGTGTTTTTCTTCACAGCACTGTCATTCTCAAAGCCACTTGGGTGTCGCAGCACGTCTCTTTCTTAAACAATGATGCTCAGAAGTCATGTCAGTAGCAAAATCACTGGAGGACATAAATACACTGCCGTAATGCAAGGAGTCTGCGAATGTTTATGAGAACCTTTGTGAATGGATGCACATGTATTTTTTCTGTGTATTTTTTGGCTAACAAGCATAGATTTTTTTTTCAGAAAACCAAATCAAAAGTCATTCTGTAAAATGAGGGACTTTAAATGATGGTGTTTAAGTAACTGCTCAGAGGTGGGCCACTTATTTATGTTATGGGCTTCTCACATCTCCCAGTGAACAGAAACTTTCCTTTTTATAGACTATGGGCGGGCTGAGTCTTTCAGCCACTAAGGGAGAGGTTTGTGGGTCATGGCTGTAGTTTCAGGAAGGTCCTATATTTTAATGGTCTGAGTTAATGCAGTCCAGAAGTGCTTGTGTAGGCCACATTGTGTCCACCCCTGAGGCCTGGAGTTGTTTCTTTCCCAGAGAGAGAGAGAGAGAGAGAGAGAGAGAGAGAATCAAAGGACCTAGAAATTATTATCTTTACTACTCACTACACTTATCTTTGCCATGTTTTCATTCATGTTGAAAAATTCTTCACTCTAATTTGCTGATCTTATTCTCAGACTAAAACTAATATAGTAATGACATTTAAATGATTTAATGCACTGACCCCTAGAGAAAACTATAGAGTTCTGTTTGGAATTTAAAAGGCCTCTCCAAGAAGTCCTTTGTCAGAATGAAAGGTATTATTAAACTGACTCTCAACTCTTTATATTACTCTTATAGAAGAATTTTGTTTCAATATGGCTATTTCTTCAGTTCTGTTTTCCATGATTAGTAGCCTATTGGTTAATACTGATCATCGCAATATCCCAAATTTGAATTTAACTACAATTTTTAAAAATCCTGGGGAAATTCTACTTCTCTTAAATGTATGAGCATATAGAAATGAAGCTCAAATGTGTTCAAAACAGATATAATGTAAATGCAACTGCGTTTTGGATAACTATTCTTTGTTATTCTTAGTAGGTAGAAGGCACAAGACCTAAAAAAGGGACATGGGATATGTTCAAAACAGATATAATGTAAATGCAACTGCGTTTTGGGTAACTATTCTTTGTTATTCTTAGTAGGTAGAAGGCACAAGACCTAAAAAAGGGACATGGGATTTCTGCCACTTAGCTGTAATGCTGTGGGTTTGTGTGGGTGATGTAGCTGTGGAGAAACTGGGAGTGTTAAGGAAATGGAATTGTTTTTCACTTCTCATGTCATTCATCACGTTATATGAAGAATTTTTTTTTCTACACATGAACTTTAAATTTCTTTTCACTGAAACTGGAGACAATCCTAAAGAAGCATGCTGGGTTTTTGTTTGTTTGTTTGTTTTGCCCTTAAGTAGTTTCATTATGCCATCTGTTTATGTTTGCTTCATACCTTGTACAGATTTCCCCACGTCATTCCATACAAATAATTTATTGTAATTATTGCTTAGTGTTTAATAGATATGTTTATATATACCAAAATTTATGCAGCCATACTTTACATACATCAGTGCTTATATTTCCATAGGCTAGATTCTTACAGAACTCTAAAAGGAAAGTTGCTGAGTTGGAGCATGTTTTTTTAATAAAAATGTTTTCAGATTTATTTCTAAAAAGGTAAACTTTACAATTTCATCAACAATTCTATGAATACCCATTTTTCCATTTCCCAATCAATGATTGGTATTATAGCTCTTGCCTTCGTTTGATAACCCAGTGAGTGAAAACTTATCTCAAGTTTCAAATTTAATTTACATTTCTCTATTAGTACGTTTAAGCAACTTTGTCCACGGTTGTTGGTTTTGGGGATTTGCTCCTCTGCACATTGTGTATTAATAGGCTTTGTCCTTTTCTCAATCTGTATGAGCTCTCTGCAAATTCTACGTGATCATGGTGGTAAGATGATCATTCCAGGCTTATCACTGAATTGAAACGGTTTTATCATTTTACCCTGAAGCAATTTATT